AGTTGAATACAAGAAGAATTTCGGACGCTTGTGTTTCAGTTATCCATTAATACAAACAGACGAGAGATGCGAATTGCAGAAGGTAAACTGCCCTACTCTATTTAATATATAACATTTATAGGCACGAAAGATACAAGTACATAAATACTTCTGTACTATCATAAAGATATGATCAATATCACTTATCTAAATAATAGAATGGTTGAAAAATAGTTTATCTGTTGGGATAGATTACACAGGTGTTTCATTAGATAGAACCTGCTATATATTAGTTTTCTTGTTTGTTCATATGAAAATAGTTTTTATGCATCTTCTATTAGTTCACCAGTTTGTTTGCAGAAGCCTGTATATAGACTTCTGGACTAACCCATTCGTAAACCCTGGTCTTACTGAAGCTTATTCCACTTTTTTAATCATAGGCTGAACCCTCGAATTTGATGAAGCTAGTAAACATTTTAAACCTTATAAAATCGGGTAACAAAATACCTATTGGAATTCTCGGCAACAGGCCTGCTACAACTGAAGTATATCATTTTACAAGTCAATAAAACATTTAGGTTAGGAAAGTAGGTCATCGCCGGCTGGTTATAACAAGACGAGAAGACTATCCTTTTTCTCAAGGCTTCAGTATATCTTTGAATGAAGTAGCTGCAGCAGGATTGAGATTGCGTCAGTTTGATACAAGACTTCTCAAGCTATATGGTCTGCGCTTCCTTGACCTGAGTGCTAATTTACTGGAAACAATTCCTCAGGAAGTACAAAGTCTTAATGTAGCTCATTTGTGTTTATGTAAAAACCGCATAACAAGATGGCCGTCAATTTCCGAAGGTTCGCCACTAACTAAAACCCTGGAACTTATTGATTTGAGCAGTAACAATTTGACTTGGTTGCCAGATGATTTTTGGGTCCTTACGAACCTTAGGAACGTCAACCTTTCAAGTAAGCTTCAGTTTATTTATCATATTGGTAGTCAGTTTATTTTATCTTAAATTCTTTGTATGCGTGAGTCTTACCTAATGGTACTTCGAAGTAGCAATATGTTCCAGCTAGACATTATTTGGATTTTTGATATTCTTTTCATAATAATAGGTCCTTCAAGGTAGGCGTTTTCAGTTGCTTATTACAAATCCGTGTAATTTCTCATCGAGGTTTTTTTAAAGTTAAAATGTATATGAAGCTATAGAACTTCACAACCATTACCCTTTTGAAAAATAATGCTTTCTATAATTCTAAGATTATATAAATGATTTTTCCATTAAGCATTAACCTCGATCCGTTCGTCTTCAAGCTGATAATTTTGAAACATCAACCGTAAAAGTAAAGCTGACGTGAATGTTATACAACGATCGTTAAAGCAGTCTAGTCAACATAAGTTGATAGAAATTGTTCGTTAGTTTGTGCCTGAGCGTCTGATGTATCTATAGTGCTGCTTAAAACACGTTCTTAGGCTTTCGATATGGCAGATTTATTCATACTCAAAACTAATGTTAATAGTCCACTTAAACCTAGTAGAGATTGTCATTCTGCAGTAATTACTTCCCAAATATGGTTAACAAAACTAAGAGAACATTTCACTAATTTTAATAAATAGTCACGTAGACCCGATCGTAAAATGCATTGTTTATTGAAATAGTACATAAGCAGACATTTCATAATAGTCACTTTTTGTGGGCTGGATCGCTGACTATGCAGAACTCAGAATATTCTGTTATTGACCAAACGATCTTTCAGGTTCATTTAACTTTTAAACATTTCAATTCTTAGATTGCTGAATGTCAATAAGGTTTATAGTAAGGATAAACAAAATAATTATCATCTGATAACGAGGATTCGAAATAATCTAACTTTAAACCGAGTAGAACTAAGATTTAAATGGCTGCACATCTAATAAATAGAAGACTAAGTACCAACGTAATTTTAGGAAACAAATATAATTGCACATAATCCTGATAACCTTCGTCTTCTCACTGTATGATCGAAATATAATTGGTTGATATGGTTGCAAAGTTAAGGCTTATCATGCAAACTCTTTGGAAATGACTATTATTTAGCTCAGGCACATTGTTAAAAGAAGACTGGAATGTTTGTTGTGCCCTTCTATCGTTCCTTACAAAGTACAACTAAATACAATGACTAGTAAACCTTACAACCATCACTTATAGGTTTGAAAATATTATTCAGTCATCAGCAGCGTAGAACTTCATACGTACATACATCAGTTCGAGTTGCCATACCACATCACTGAAGTAAATAAAAAGTTATTGTGTTCATAACAGTAGGCGAAGACGATTTTCTATCAAGGGCCTTTTTAATTCTGCTTTATGTTCTATGGCTTAAATAAAAACTTTCTAATATCCATATAGATCGAATTTAGAGGAACACTAGAGTAAATGAGATTTTTCATCAGACCGTGTCCCCACAAATATTACGAGATAGTCTTTGCGAATGCATCTTGTGTTAACTGGGAAACCAAGGATTCAGTGCGTATCTACACCAAGAGACTTCTATTTTAGGGAAATATTCGATGAAAGCAGTTAGAGATGGGAGTATAGACATTATTAAAAGCCAAACATTGCTCTAGTGAAGATCTTTCTACTTACTTCTTTGTCAGCAGATTTCCAAAATCGTAATACTATAGTGTGCTTTTCCTGTACTTTTACGACAGATAACAGACTGAAAGGTGTCCCAGTTGCCTTCCTGCACAAGTTAGATAGGCTCTCTGTGCTTATTTTGAATGACAACAAATTGGACTCTCTGCCATCTATATTGCCTTCTCGTCAACTAAACCAACTAGTAGTTTACAATAATCCATTTTTGCCTTCCGATTTGGTTGTTAAACCGAGTGATGTTGCCCTGACCTTACTCAGCTGTGCGTCAACAAGTTTCCTTCGTAGTAATTGGTATGTGTTTATGTACTTATTTTTCATATTCCAGTTTCGTAAGATAGAAAATTATCAGAATATGTTAAGATATTTCATAATTATTTGCTGGTAGTAGCCATTACTACTAATCTTTTCCCTACAATTCGACACTTGCTAGATACTCAGTAACTGATGGAAAGTAGTCCATGACTTTGGATATTAAAATCTATGTTTACAAATATAAACAACTACAAAGTTAGAAATTAGGTCAAATGCAAAACATAACACATATTGGCAAAGCAATTCAGTATTGACAGAAAATATTAATTACTTGGGGAGAAATCCTAACAACCAGCTTCATTCTTAGGTATGCGCTTTGTAGTTAAATCACTTAACTCAGAAACCCAACTTCACTAGTATGACCAGTTTGTGAATTAATTATTTTGCACATAAGCCATCCTGTTTCTATCGAGATTGTTTTTGTGTGCGTTTAGTTGATAAGAAAACTACTGTATGCGCAGATTTAAAAAAAAACACCCCCAGTTTATATACGGCAGTTTAGTAATGATGAACATTGAGAATCGTAGACTACCACAGTGATGATAGTCGTTCTTCATGCATCACTTTCGATGATATATGTCCAGACTATCATGCTATTTTAGATCTCATTACCTTCGTCAAGTAAAAGTACCTCTATACTGAAACCCTCATTTTTACAAATTAATTACTTAGAAAAACCTTATTAATCTTAAACGCTTTAAGACGGTGTTTACACCTAATTGCGTGTGCAGGACTCATAACATAGTGTACAGTTCAAATGACAGTTACATAGTACGATTCAATAACGCTTAGGTAATTATTCCGTGTTTTTAAAACTCCTTTTGGTTGTTCTACAGGTACCCCTGTCTTGAAAATATCTTACCCTGGAGCTTGCGTATTCGCTTGGCAGTATTTAGAACTTGTTTATGTTGCCGTTTAAGATGTGGTGTGAATCCTTACCGCATTCTTGTGTCGTATAAAAGCTGGATGAACATTTCTTGTGATCGACAGAACCCCCCAAACATTCTGGCCTATTTATGCAGCGAAAGATGTCTAACAACTTTCAGTTCCAACACTTGGAAATACGCTTTAGATTAGCTTACGAATAATGGCTCTCTTTCATGTTGTAAAGTCCGAATTACTTTTTGGTCACTGCAGTGTCAATACTGATGAATCCATGCACTTTGCAAATTTCAGTTTTTGATTTTACTGAAAATGGTCGGTCTTAAATATCCCCTAAATGGATAAAATTAGTAGGCGCTCAGAAGTGTAGCAAGAATTTAGCAGCTAATTCACTGGGTTTAGAAAGCGTAACATCAGAATTAGTCAGCTGCAACGTAGGACCAGGCACGTATATGCATCGGCCCAAGTTTCCATACCGCATTAGCACAACAAGATGAACACCGGATTCATAAAAGTGGTTAATTCAGTGATGGTAATGTATGGAAGAAAGATTGTGTATAAGGAGATTGTACAGGAAGAAATAATTAGTTCGTAGAAAGATATGAAGCGATTTTAATCACTTAATTTATAGAGAGACAGAGAGTGTATACACCTACGACATTGTGATCGATTCTGAGCCATGTCACACAGAGTTTCCAGCCATTGGTTACGATAGTCACGCGAACCCCAACCAGGCAGTCTGAATCTTCCAACATTGGCTCAGACCAGAAGTTAGTGACTTCAAGCACTGATGCCACGTTTTGGTTTGGCCGTCCCTAACTTTCTTCCATCATCCCTAACACCAGTGAGCATTGCGCGTCGTGGTAATCGGTGTTCAGAAAGATGGATAGTGGCTAGCAGTGGAATCCAGGACGCGCGTTTCGTCCTATTTGGGACTCGTCAGCTGGATGTACCTGCATCTCAGAGTTGATGTTCACTGAGGGACTTGAACCCAGGGTTGTTCATAAAATATTCAGATTTCGTGCATTGGTAACACAACTCAAGAATTGCTTGCACTTCGACCTAAAAATTTGTATAACTATGAATCAAGTGTACTCTTTAATAAGATGAAAGATGTACGTAAAGTAAAGAATGAACAACTTGCATTTATTTGTCTGTCTTAGATAAGCAAAATACAAATTCTAGATAAAATAGTTATCAGAATTTCTGGACATTTAAGTCGGTAAGGTCGTTGAGTTCCCACACTGTCTTTGTCAAAATGCGGCGTAGTTTTTCGAGCTCTTCTGTTACTGTTAGCAACCTTTTGACTACTTTTTCACGAGCTATTATTAGTTGCTTTAATTCAGGACTTGGTTCTCTGTTCGTTATCGGGGTATCCACATAGGGGACAAGGTCAGAAATGTCAGCAGGAAGTAAGCGGTCACAGCTTTCTTTTACTACATGAAAGGCCTAAAATAGAATGGGAAATGAATTACGTTGATCCATGTACACAAGTTACATTTCACGAAGTAAGCAGTGCGAAGCTCAACGTATTGAGTGGTTTCGTACTTTTCTATACTGAGTTTTGAATAAAGAAAATGAGCGATCAAATCTCCACACCGATTTGTGCATTACTAATCTCTAGGAATAAAGCTCATTTAAGTTTCAATCGCTGAGATTATTTTAAATATATTTTTTCCACATATAATGACTTCTCTATACTCGGCGCCCAATTTTTGTCAAACTTCATTCTAATATTGATGAATATTCGTATAAAGCGTATAGTGGATTTGTGCAGTGTGAGTATGTTCAGTATGAGGGTTGGTGTTTACATTGCCTGTACAATTATGCTCTACGAACTAGTTTGTTTCTACGTCGCAATGCATGTTGGCGTAGAATATAGAATGAAAGTGAAACAAATTTTCGATGAGAAATGGAGTCCGTTGAGTAATTACTAGTCCGTAATGGATAACAAAAAGTGCCTCTACACCAAAAAAGTTGAATCAAAACGACTCTAAAGCTCTCCGAGTATCCGGCAACTTTTACAAGGTGTTAAATTAGCTAGGAGATTGGTTATACCGTTATTTCAGACAATCAAAACGGAATTATGTCGGGACTGCGCACTTGAGGGGTTGGTAGTCCACATAAATAACTTTTTGGCGGATAGTAAGTACTAGTTTACACTGTAACTTGAAACTGGGAAATGAGGGCCGCTTATCTTAAATTGAAATATTTATAATTGTTCCTTAAACAGCTGAAAAAGAGTATCTGAATACATTCTGGAGCAGGCATCTTTACGACAAGTAGGATGAAACAACAAGTCCTGTGTATGGCAGCTGTACGAAGTTAACCTATTCTATGAGTCGAACACGGTAACCAGTGGCACAATTTTACAATTATTAAGCCTAAGACAACAACCAGTGGCGATCCATTGAATCCTTCTAAACTACTTGGTTTGTTAATGCTTTAAAGAGCAATCATTAAAACTACAACACTAGTCATCATATGCAACGGTCCACATGACGAAACTTTCACCGTCACTAATAACAGGAACCGTTTTAAGCTACCATCTAAAATTATTTAACAGTAATACCTGTTTAAGAAGTTCCTTGTTGCTTTTCATCTGCTGCAATGTTTCGACGCATTGTGGTCCAGCGATAGATGCTTGGTGAGTACTGATTCCTCGAGTTTTAGGATCCATACACGCGTAGAACAGCAACATTAAGTCTCTCAACCCACTTAACATATCCTGCAATGCTTCTTGACCGCATTTTGACGCATGTATAGGATTCGACAAATCTTTGGTATGTAGCCGACCTTCTGGTTCCTAAAACGTAGATTTTTACAATTTATCCACACAAACATAAGGGGGAATCAAGAAAGTAAGATTTAGAACTAAACATTTATTCTTTTGAAAATGGACTGCCTTTAGTATTGAGTATATCTACGTAATAACCGGACCTTCGGGCTAAATGCAATCGATTTTTCACTTTATCGACCGGATCCCATGATTCTGAACGGATCTTCCAAAATTCAAGTAACTGTTGCAATTTACTTTCCTCTTTTTTTTCACGCATTATCTGTTGCTTTCGTACCAACACAGCATGACGTTTATGCAGCCTTTTCTTCTGATGTCTTTTCATTTTTCGCCTCCGAATTTTGATATCATTTTTCAATTCGATGGGAATAGCATTTGGTAGAGATGGCAATGTAATGAATTGGCTCAATACGATAGTGCTGAGAATAGGTGATTTGTACTCATTTATGCCGTAATTGACTGGTCTGACTGAGTAAGGGAGGATAAAATTAGTATCAGCAGAATTGGGTTGAAGATTCAGTATGTTATGTGAGTTTATCAATTGTTTATTTGTAATGCATTGAGTTGGATGTACGTAGGTGTACACTAATCTGGGAAGAGCTTTTAAAAGTCTGAAGCGCTAAAATGGGACTTTTTAAAGGACGACACAAGTCGTACCTGTAGCATTTCAAGCATTCAGAAACCAAAGCTGCAGACAGTAAAAGTTAGTTCGTGGTTGGGATTTCCTAAATTGCGCCGACGGCCTTGAGTAGTTAAATTTACCGCGGGCAATATGTTTTAAATGCTTGGTATTGATCGAATGTCTTCGGAATGGTTGATTATTTAGCCTTTCTATTGGTGTCCATAAATCACTAAAATATTACAATGTTAGATAAATCCATTTTTTGGATAAAATTTATAGAGTTGACAGTGTGCACAAAAGGTATATAGACATGGAACAGCTATTTCATGCAAGTAGTTGTTGATGAAATAAAAGATGTTTACACCTGCTTACGTGTACAATGAAGAGGTAAATTAATCCTCAAGATAAATAGTTTTGTAAGTTTACAATGTTATTGCTGACCTCATTGACTTTACTGGGCACACACTGGCTGAAGTTACTCGGTCGCGCATTCGCACCAGATCACGAATGTGTATACCGTGCTACGTACCCGTTGCAACTACTAGTCAGCTTATATCAAATGTTACTGAACAAATCGACAACCTTTAAAATATATCTTCGAACTTATTCTCACCTGACTTCTGATTTGACTAGGTCAGTCTCTTTCGATTATAAGAGTGTTACGGACGAAAGCGTTGTCAAACCCAGAGGATCTTTACTATGTTTAGCGCAGGGTTGATGTGATCTAGTGCTCCAGATGATAATCTGTAAGTCTATTTATTGTCCTAGCATCATATTTTACCTTCTATTTTTACATGCTTACTGCCCAAAGCGCATCATTCTGATATCATTTACAGGATGTAGTCTGCACTTTAGCAATGAAAGATTGTTGTGATCAGAAGAGTCAACGCTTTTCTAAGCTTGCAGTCTGCGGTATATCCTTCTACATGATGGATGACAAGCGACTGTAAGTAATGTCTTTGCTGCAAAGTTGCCTTCCAAGGACTTATGTTCTCTACAAAGATAAGTAGTGGCATTGGTTCTAACCACATAATCCTCAGATCTGAACATGAGATAACTGGGGAATTAGTTATTCGACATTTAACACAGAGACAAGGCCAGCAATCGGGAACGCGGGGACATCTTTTCAATTCAGTGAGTCGGATGGCATAGTTCAGCCTTGTAGATGTGGTCATTTGTTGTATCGCTTATCTCTTTTATTCATATCAAATATATTGTTCAATCTGTAGCGTAAATGTATTCTTCAGACTGTTAAGATACGACGAGACAGGGCAGACAATGATGGGATTGCCACATAAGATCTCGGTGCGAAATTCGAAAGTGGTGACCGTTTTGCAAGTGGTTTAGAAATTCATCGACTTGTTCATTTGTAAGATGTATTATAAGGAGACTATCATCTTATCTTGTATATCGGGTACATTTTACCCTGAAAAAAAAAGTTTCATCGTACACTCACCAGTCAATATTATTCCTATCACGTATTTAAGTCCTAAATAAATCTGAAATTTTTTTATGCACTAATAGACTCGGATCCTTGTATTAACCAGGTTAATACTTGTTAACAAATATATACTCAGGTTTTACGTTTAGCTTAATGATCTCTCTTTAACCCAGTTTCAAATCATGGTCAATAACTTCAGCAAAAGAGAAATTTTATCAAATTCTAGGCCAAATATAAGGTTCAAATCTGTAACCCCTTTAATCGACGATTCAGTACCTGACAATGTCGAATCTTTGTCTATTGAACTATATGCGTCATATACACGAGTATAACTACCATTACTTGACTCGTCATGTTACAACCCCTCTTTGTGTGCAGTATGCCAGCTATAAGACTGGTTGACATACAAGACACTATACCCACGTGCATCGAAAAGTCAACACAGTCTACCAGACAGTACGTTCTACCAAGGTTTAAATCTAAAATTTCAAAAACCAAAGAGTCCAATAGTTCATCTCATAAGCACGAAAATACTGATAAATATAGTACTGACATCCGCCAGCTACAAAACTCTGTATCCGAAATTTACGGCAGACTTGAGCAACTAGCACCCCTCATACATATATGGGGCCGTGACACTAATAGGAACCTTGAGCAACACAATAAAGCCGAGTGTATTTTGGAGTTTGTTGCTGAGGAAGTGACAAAAAGACTGATGTCGTTCAATGCAGTTGTGTATAATCTCGCCGATCTTGAAGCGATAGGGTTGCATAGTAGTGTTACAGTAAATAACCAGCCAGAGACTGTTTGCAACAATAAGCATGACATCACTCCACGAACGGCAGATCACTCTGTTGATCTGGATGCGTCTGCTGATCAGAAACCTTCGTATAAGATACGGACACAACTGTCACCAAAAACCATAACGACATGTCTAATCCCAGCTGTTCGCTCGGTAATATACTAAGATGTGAGTCGTGTGACAACACGCACCCAAGTAAACCTATACACTTGAAAATTAGTCCTCCTAAAGATGCTTCACATGTTTACTCGAATGAACCTAGATTCATCTCAGAGACAACGAAAAACTCCAGCTCGGAAAAAAGGGTGGGAAGACAAGACTCGCGATACCGAGTAAGGAAACGCGTAAGGTTGAACCCAACTGCTCGATAGGTATCCCAACAACGGTGAATAGGTCCTCCCCGCTGACATCATATAACTTGCTTTCAACATCTCTAAGTTGCAAAGTGGGCAGTGGGCTACAGCGTAACAAGCCGTTTTAAACACAGACTAACAAAAGCTACCAGAGTGCTGACCACTCCAAGAACCCCCTAAAGCTTAAAACCACTAATAAGAATGGTAATAATAGGTTTCTCACTTCACAAGCTATCCACATTCCCCAGGATTACAATTGCAATTACTGTCAGGAAGAAAACTTTTCACACCCTTTAGTACCAACCCATCTCATGAAAACGGCTCCCACGTACAATAACAGTCGCAGCTCCTTTCAGTTACGCGCATCAGGCCCCTCTCACGCTAACTTAAACAACTATAACAGAGGTTACGCGCCTAACCACCAAGACGATTTTGCAAATAACCAAACACTTCACAGTAGGCCTGTACAAGATTTTTTGTGGTACGACCCCTATTGACATCTCTGTTGAAGCATATAGCCCACGTTATTTCGAATCACATGCAAAACATTAGCTTATCTCCCCCGTACAGTTTCCACCAGAGAGTACTCCCACTCTTCTCTTCTGCGTAAACCTCCCAATCAACTTCACTAGCTCATTTGATACATCTCCCACTAAGTCTAACTATCAAAATGCCGAGCTAATGAAGAACATTCAATCCCTCACTTCTAACTCATCTCACATCCGCGAGGGCTACAACGACTTTATTCGAGATACTCTCACTCATTTTAACCTAGTAGGCCATTTGTTTAATATATGTCTCATCAACGCTAGGTCGATCTGCAGTAAAAAGACGGATTAAGCCATTTTTTGTATCCATATATCAACCATCACTTATAATGATATCTGAAGCACGAACCAACAGTAATATTTACGACCTAGGTATATCTTTTGATAACTATTTCCTATATAGAAGTGATAGATTGAAGGGTCGAGGCGGAGGATGCCTTATTTACGCTCACTCTAGCCTAAACTCACTACTATGTGATATGCCTGAACTAAACAAACTGAAGGATTCGGTGTGGATTGTATTGAAGCCGTCGAAGTCCGTTACCTTACTGTTCTGCTGTATCTAACGCATCAATAGATGACATAGCAGTATTATCGGAGGTACTCACACTAGCGTCATCCCTTCCATTCACAGACAAGTTTATTTTTGGCTACTTCAACATGCCCGAAATTTCTCGGTTCCAAATCAAGGCTCCGAAAATGTATGAATCATTTACAGAATGTCTAGAGCTTGGACAATGGACTCAGTGTGTCAATGGCCCTACCAGACATCAAAATATCTGGGACTTAGTCTTTACCAGTGGCCTTGCCTCTAATACTGTGTATATTGGAAAAACGTTACCAGGTAGTGATCATAACATTGTTATATGCAGCCCTAATATAAAAACCACAATCGGTAAACGTAAAACCGTAACACTTCGTAGAAACGATCGCAAGGTTGATTGGGATAACTTATACAATTACCTAAGAAGCACTGATTGGGGAACTTTCTTTACTGCAAACAATACTGACACACTAACCAATATATTTTATCTCAACATCAGAAGTATCATCAACAAAATCGCACCTTTAGAGTACCGTAGACATACGTTCTCTAAAGATCTTTATATACCGGTCG